ATCACGCTAAATACTTATGTCTCTTTTGATATCTTTTTCTTTTGTTATTTGATTGATCGTCGTTCAAGGTTTGCTTTACCAGCTTCGGTATGACACCGGGTTCTTTCGGTCCTAACAAAACTGACCATCGTTATTATAGGCATATATATATATTTGTATACACATTAGGTATAAAAGAAAGAAAGATTAACTCCTATCACTTTCTGAACTTACAAAAACTGACAATCTTTATTACAGGGCAATATATATTCACACACATTATTACGTGCTACTATTGCCTGTCCATGGGCTAAATATATACATTTGTCTTTTTAAGTTTCAAATATGTTTAGGCATTTCTTGTACTATTTTGTTAAGAACATTGTCTCCTATCTATTTGGAAAAATACAAAAGGTTGCAATTAATGGAACATGTATAGTTAATAATTATGAATACGCAGCCAGTAACCACTATGTGCTTACAATCTAATTCTAATGTTATCTCCCCTGCACCTTCTCTAATCTCCCCATGCGCAGTAAAAATAACCAAAGAAATAATACACATATATCTACTATTCTGATTGTAAAATTCCCGCTCTAAGAAAGTACCTCTCTATAACAACAGTCCTATATAATAGTCATTCATTATAAAAGTTAAGTTTTATATGGAAATAATTTTAATATTATATTATAATATATGTCCTCTAAAAAGCAGCCAAAAAATATCGAAACAAACGAGATTATTATAAAGACGTTTGACTGTATATATCTTTTTATAAGTTTCTGAAGTTCAATAAATCAGGCGTGGGAGGGATTCATCGTTTTTCTTGGCCGTTGAATTAACGTCGTTCATTCGAATGAAATAGAATAGTGTAGTACATAAAAATTTAGATACGAAGAAATTAAAGATTACATGTCAAGAAAAAAGAAAAAAAGACATCCTCGTGTATTACTTCTCTAGGCTTCTTTGTAACTTGTAATTTTTTAGTGTATATCTCGTGGCTACCATGATCCTAAATAGAAAAGTATGGAGGTTGGAGATTAGGCAAAAGATTAATAGGTAGTCGAGCGATTATTATCAATATCATTTTTTGCTCCATCTTCAGTGGGAGAACTTGGTTGTAGTTTAGAACATCTTATTTGGTCCATCTTGTGCTTGTCAGTGTCATTATTATTATCTTATTATTATTGTCTTATTCTTCATATTTATTAGTATTGTTTCTTTTTATTTGGATATTTTACTACTTTTGCCGTAGTACTTTCCTTTCATTTCTACCGTATATATATTCACCATAACTTTTTATTCGTGCTCTTTTTTTCATGCCAGTTTTAAAAATACTTTTCTTGATTCTATCGGAAACAATTATTCTATCTTTCACAAGGTAAAGATAAGGTCTATGTATATCCTGTTAGGTTTCGCGAATGGGTGTGAATGTAAAATGGAAGAGGTACCTTTTGAATTGCACCTCTTCATCTCACCCTTTCATTGTCTATAAATTCAGAGTTTAAGCCTCATTTTTTAAAGATGGAAAATCTGAAAAACATCTCCCCTTTTTTCTACATAGTTGCATTATTTTTCAAATAAACAAAAGTGTCAAGTGTGATTTGCTCCGTTTATTGAGTTCGCTGAAGTTCTATAATTTCGATTGCTAGTATTACAAAATAGTTTTTTCGTTCTATTCTAGGAGGAAGTAATCTATAACCTTGGAAAACAATGAGGTGATTAAATTCCTTAAGGACACACAAGCAACTTGTGAGCTCAGAAATTATTATGTTTTGTTTTATTGAATTAATGTTTCTTTACTTCTCCGATTGTCTGATTTCAAATACAGATTACTAACATATCCCCCCCCACCCCCGGACTCTATTTTGTGGGATTACACTAGGTATATAAGCAATCCAAACTCTCAACAAAATATAAAAGAGGACCACAAGCATGTGTAAATACCTCAATGTACTCATGTGGACACTCCTCACCCAATGACAATATCTCAAATATCCATGTTGATGTTTTTGACCCATTTTTCTTTTCTTTGTTGATTCCTCTCAATGAAATTTTTCATGTTGCACTAAGTTACTTACTGATGTATGCGTGCGGTCCGGGAATACTTTGGGGTGAACACCCATTTGAACTAGATAGTCTCCTATCACTAGGCTCACCAATCAACCTGGACTTTTTTAATTATTATTCCTACCGGATATAAAAAAAAACCATAAGAATTGTTTCCAGCCATGAGTTCCCCTATGGCATAAGCGCTCTTGGGTGGGGTGGGCCATTCCATCAAATCTTTAAGAAGGGGACCAATATCGTATTTGATGGTCGGTATGGTGATAGGCTGCGTTTCTACGACTGCCTTCCCAACCGTTGAAAGATTGAGCGAGAACGGTAAGGGGCACATAAACAAAAAAGTCATTGTGCGGGGATGCGATTAGCCAAGCTGGGGAAAAAAAGCAGTCAGACCATACTGAAGTCTTGGCATCGAGAGAGATTTGAGATTCCGTAAGTAACACAGTGAGTGTTTTCTAAGAAGGGCTTAGAAAAAGAAAATAAAATAGGAATAATCGCGTTGGTCGTAGTAGATCAACTTTCATGCTATTTCTTGCTCCAACATGAAAGTTCCATTTCAGGGAAGGATGACGTACTATGATACTTTATATTTTGTCGAGCCCTACTTTGGTCTCTAGTTTGATGGTTATAAGTGCTAAAAATCCGGTACATTCCGTTTTGTTTCTCATCCTAGTCTTTTGCAACACTTCAGGTTTACTTCTTTTGCTAGGTCTTGACTTCTTCGCTTCACTTCAGGGCATGTCCTTCATTGTGGTCAGTACTCCATACTGTGTGGCAGCGAAGCTTACAATTGTTCACTAATTATGATAGTTAACCAAGGCCTCTTTCCTCCTTCATTTTCTGCCCGCTCGTAGGGGTCAGGACCCTTATTCAGAAAAGGAAAGGGCTTTTTTTTTTTATAGATATTGAGGTTGAGTAAGGGGGGAGGAGCTTGAAGAGCGAAGCTCTTTTGCGGAATTGGAATTTTTTTATAGTGCAAATTCCATAAAACGTGACCCAAGATCCATGATACGAAAACCAAAATCAGAATAACGAAGAAAAAGACATCATGATGTAAGTTTGTTATTCCTTACATTATAGGTGTTGCTGTGTCTTGGGATCCTAATTTCCATGTTTTCGTTGCATCACAAGGAGAAATTGTGAGGAATAGCCTTTCTAGAACAATCATTTGATTTGGTTCATTTTTGACTTATTCTACAATAATCCAAACTGCAGCGGCACCTCACGAACTTCTTACTGGGGAAATCTATAATAGGCATTTGTGTAGGATTAGTAAAATAGGAGAAGTGCCTTTACTTTCAAATGACAACTGCTTCTTCCTACTGCAAGGGCGTTGAAACCGAACCGCCCCCGCCCGATCAAGTACCTGTTGCTTCGCTGGTAGGCCTACTTAGGTCAGGGTTCCAAACCTCAGTTCTTACCAACCTCCAGTGTTTAATCTAAATCTTTCTAACTAGAGCTCGATTGAATAAGAATCATTGATTTCCTATGCTGTCAATTTCTTATTCATTCATTGCGTTCAGCCGGTGCTCCTTTCTCATCTCAAACCATAACTACTCTGAATGTTAGGGAAGATAAGGGAAGACCGCCTGAGTGAAGTGACCGAAGGAACTTGACTTATCCGAACTGAATGATAGTGGCTTAAAGCATTGCCTATCACGAGAAGCCTCACTTAAAGAGGTACCTTTTGAATTGCACCTCTTCATCTCACCCTTTTGTCTATAAATTAGGAGGTTTAGCCTCATTTTTCAAAGATGGAAAATCTGAAAAACTTTTTCCCTCTTTTCTACGTAGTTGCATTATTTTCCAAATAAACAAAAGTGTCAAGTATGATTTGCTCTGTTTGTTGAGTTCGCTGAAGTTCTGTAATTTCGATTGCCAATATTACAGAGTAGTTTTTTTGTTCTATCCTTTGGGGAAGTAATCTATAACCTTGGGCAGCAGTGAGATGATTAAATTCCTTAAGGACAAAAGCAACTTATGGTATCGAAAATTATTATGTTTTGTTTTATTGAATTAACGTTTCGTTACTTTTTTGATGGTGTGATTTCGAACAGAGATTACTAAGGAATTTAACATAATTGATTATTCGGATGGTGTGACAGAGAAATTTTAGAGTAAAGTTTTGGCAGTCTATTTGGTATGGAGAATAACAAATGAACAGTATCTTCCGCGAAATCTAATTGGTGTTTTCGCAAGTATTTAGTGTTGTATGTCCACCCAAGTAGTTGCCATACAATTTGACTGGCTATAATTCTGGTCACATGGTCATTGTATTGGTATGGAACAGATGTTCCAACAACAACAACATATCCAATATAATTTTACGGGTGGGGTCTGAGAAGGGTCATGGGTACGCAGACCTTACCCCTACCTGGAGAGATAGAAAGACTGTCTTTGAAAGACCCTCGGCTCAAGAAAAGGTGAAAAGGAAGAATAAGGGAGAAGAAGAGGAGGAAAGATGGGGAGGAGGGAGAAAGGCGATAAGCAAAGAGGATAAAAACTAGTATCAAATAGTAACCATCAGGGAGCAACAATATCCAGCAAAAGGGAAGAAAAAGTAGCATCAAACAGTAACAATCAGAGAGCAACAATTCTAGTAGAAATTTACAAAAACAAAGGATGTGGTTGTAAAGTACCAAATACAATAACAAACTAGAATGAAGTAACTTTCAACCTACAACAAGAATATTACTAGTACTACTTGTGAACCTATGAAAAACTCGCAACTACCTGTCAACCCACTACCTTAATCCTCGACCTCCACACCTTCATATCGCTGGTCATGTCCTCGGTTAGGTGAGGCACCGACAAGTCTAACCTAATAACCTCTCCCCAATACTTCTTAGGCCTACCTCTGACCTTCCTCAAGCCCGTCATGTTCAACCTCTCACACCTCCTAACCGGGGCATCTATATTTGTCCTTTTCACATGCCCAAACTATCGCACCTCGATTACTGTAACTTGGCTTCCATAGATGCCACTCCCATCTTGTCCTTGTTAACTTCATTCCTGATCTTGTCTTTCCTGGTATGACCACACATCCATCTCAACATTCTCATTTCTACTACGCTCATCTTTTGGACATGGGACTTCTTGACAGACCAACACTAAGCTCCATACAACACAGCCGGTCTAACCACCACCCTATAGAATTTGACCTTAAGTCTAGGCGGTATATTCTTATCACATAAAATCCCCGAAGCTAGCTTCCATCTCATCCAACCCACTCTTATGCGGTGAGTAACATCCTCGTCAATTTCCTCGTTGCCTTGGATTATACACCCAAGATACTTGAAACTATCTCTTGTGGGAATGACTTGAGTATCAATGTTTACTTCTACTTCTTCTTCATGCCGCTCCTGACTAAACTTGCACTCTAAGTATTCAGTTTTTGACCTACTTAACTTGAAACCTTTGGATTCCAGCGTCTGTCTCCAAACTTCCAACCTAGCGTTAATAATCCCTCGCGTCTCGTCAATCAATACTATGTCATCAGTAAATAGCATGCACCATAGCACCCTCCCTTGCTCGTGACGAGTCAAGACATCCAACACTAGGGCAAACAAAAATAGGGTAAGGGCTGATACCTGATGTAACCCCATCTCCACTGGAAAATGTTTCGAGTCTCCTCCTACAGTCCTCACCCGAGTCTTAACGCCTTTGTACATGTCCTTCATCACCCTAATGTATACTATGGTGACTCCTCTAACCTCCAAACACCTCCATAGCACCCCCCTTAGGACTTTGTCATAAGCCTTCTCAAGGTCAATGAACACCATGTGCAAATCCTTTTTCCTCTTCCTATACCTTTCCACCAGTCGTCTCACAAGGTGAATGGCTTCTATGGTTGACCATCCTGGCATAAATCTGAACTGATTTCAGATATAGATATGCATGTCCTCACATGGAACAGATGTTCCAATCATAAGAATTCAAGTACGTGAAAACCAAGAATTGTGTTCACTTTCCACTATTTCAAATCTCACTTGGGTGGTACAAAGAGATATTATTACTAGTACAGATAGTGTTTGATCATGCACATCATAAAAACGAAGTCAATCATCATATAGATGAAGGCTTAAAGTTTGTCGGATTCTGGCCACATAAAATTCACAAGTATAAACGAAATCTACTTATCAAGTTGTGGGTTTGAACAAGTGAAACTATGGTCACCGCACAGAAGAAAACCTAGGATTCAGTGATCGCGGAGACACCATAACATTCAATATAAATTTATTACTACTTATAAAGATTGATATAGGAGCCAATACTAATACTTGACTGTTTCTTGAAGACATTTACAAGCATATATAATGTTTTTGTGGAAGTTACTAGGTGTCGATGACCCCTCTTATTAAAATGTGTGTCTGTGTCACGCCCCGAACCTAGGCCTGGGCGTAACACGACACCCAGTGCTTGACTACTATGACCGAGCGAATCAACTTGCTGGCTGAATCAACATGTGATAAAGTCTATATTTACCATCTCTACTCAAGAATACGTGTATACTGTGATAAAACACAGGGCTTTCTGCTGCTTGACTTTCACTTGTTGACAATTCGGACACTTGGCCATAAAGTTTGCGACGTTCCTTTTCATGTCGTTCCATCAATAAATCTCCTTGAGCATGATACTTTTTTGGGGAACCTAGATGGATAGAATACCTGGAATTATGAGCTCTTAACATGATCCTTCCTTTCTAAGTCTACGTCTGTAACACACAATCCCTCTTAGTACCTCAAAGTACTATCATCTCCCCCTTGTTCAAAATCCATCGTCTTAAGCTTTCGAATACCCTCTTTCAGTTACAACAAGTAGGAATCATCAAATTGTTTCTCTTTCACTTAGGATATTAAGGAGGAAAAAGTCTTGTTCTGGACAACAACTCCACCATCTTCGTAATCCGAAAATCGAACTCCTAGCTTGGCTAAGAAGTGAACTTCTTTCACTATAGTACTCTGGTCTTCCTCAATCATGGGCTATATTTCCCATACTAGATTATCTTTTTTAGTTACTTCTTGAAAACACTTATAGTATTGTTGTGACCTAAGCCTTTGACCAATACTCCGAAGATTATAGTCCCGTGCAATGGCACTACCCTCGTGATACATAATTGTGCATAATTTTGTAGTTTTTATATCCCATGCTATCTATGCAGATTTTTAAATCTCCAACTGGACTTAATGACGATTTTCGCATCCCCCCCCCCCCC